ACCACGCTCGACACAAACTCTGCTTTCTCCTCTTCACGAAAAGTAAAAAGTTATCGCGGAACAAAAAAGGCACATTTTTTGACAGTGATAAAAATAGTATCAGTGGCGCCCTTAGCGAGCTTTTGCATTGCTACAATAAGCGTTTCTGTTTAAGTAATTCAGATAGCCGATCAGACTCAATAACCTCTGGCATTGGGATTGCTGCCACGTCGACTACTGCTTAAGACATATTACTTGGAGATGTTTTTACAATTACCAGATTAAAAGTTAATTGAAAGTGTCTTATTAACAATACCAAAATGATCCTGGCTGTTGACGATGACTGTCGGTTGTTGTTGACGTGCTTATGGAATGCACGTGCAGCTTTCTCTCCCATAAGACTGTTGATAACAATACATCACAAACCATAATTATAAATAACCGCAGCAACCACGCTCTGCTACCAAAAATGATGACGATGCAAAGGCTGGGCCCATATAAATTCTATTAACTCACCATATCATGGCATGTAAAGCGATGAACAAAACATTCGATTCGATAGGCAGTCTGAGAGAGAGAAAACAACCAACAACAACGACTTCGATGGACAATCTAGGGGCGCCTGTCCAACCTCGTGGGTTTTCTCCGGGTCCTCCGGTTTCCTCCCACTGCTAAAGACCCCTATGCGCAAGCGAATTATTGAAATAAAATTAAAACCATATGTTAGTCCCGAAATGACCTAGTTTGTGTCGAGTGGACGTTAAACCCCATTTCTCTCTCTCTCTCGATGGACAATCTGATTTTATTCAAGTAATTACAATTGATGGGGTTATCAAAAGCATGTACATAGCAACCACTATCACCAGTACGTACCACAAACACAGAATGTCTAACCAGTTCGTCCCCAAACACGTTTCGTCCAGTGTCCTTATACTGTACAAGCGGAACGACAATATAAAATACATGTAATGTTTATCATGTCACTGTGAACTAAGACTAGCATTTATAGCAGTTCTCTCTTTCGCTCTCTCTCTCTCTCTGCCCACCCACTCCATCCCATTTCACTAGCATTTTTGTTGACTTTTTGGTATGGAATTGAAAAGGTGTATTTGAATGTACAATTTCTGTCAGTCGTTATATTTAGGCGGAAGGGTCAGGGTGTAAACATGCATTAATTACCAAATTCCTGCACAAAAATGACATCATAATCTATAGATTCCTTTGAAATGGCGTAGTAAAAAGTTCATGATGGTCAATAACTTTCAATAATTTTATCCAGTGAATTTGTCAATTTGACATGTTGGGTTCTTTGTGGTTATAAAGTTTAAGATCATCGGAATGTTCAAATACATATTACAGGCCAAAGAATGGCATGGATGTAACAATAAAGTCAATCTGGCGAAGGTTAGTAGTCTGAATCCGTGTGTAGGGAACATCAAATTACCTCCCCTATCTCACTTTAGAGGTTAGTTACGGTGTCAATGATTACGAATATCCTACTTATATTTGCTCTTTTGCTACGTCAAATTTATGATCTCAAATCCAACGCCAACCTCATTCAACGTTTGAGCAAGATACTGTCAGGTTCTGTCTGTGGCAGAGAGCATCAGCCCAACGAATATTTTGAGAAACGTTGGGGCCGAACAAAGCTACAGGAATTAACATTAAATCAAATGGGAGAATATACAGTTGCCTGTCTTCATGTGTCTGTATATCAACATCTGGGTTAATTCTGGTTGATTCTAAATCAATATAGATGCAGCGTATTATGGAATATGGAGATTATAGGATAACATTTAATTAAAACTTATAATGCGATTTAATTTCGTTTATTTTTTAAGATTTTCATACTACATTGTAATCCAACGCACGTTTTTCATGATCTGCTAGGGGGGATTATTTCTATATCTTGAACTTTGAACTTAATAGATACATAGAACATACAGAACACCATCAGGAAGTTTATCTCAATCTAATTTTTAAAAAAAAAAAAGTAGATTACAATTTTGTTTCATTTATTTATTCTGTTCTTTACACTGACAAAAAACTACCTTTCTGTCAAACCCTAGCTCTGTTAGTGAAATACTAAAATGATCAGAATCACAGTTATACGCACTTGTGTTTTTAAATTCCAATCATTCATCACAGGCAATAGAAATGAATGGTCAGACATTTGTGACATGGTAAAACTGAATAAATAAATATATACATGCATATCTGAAATTCTGTAATAATTCAACGCCAACGCACTTGGCATCGATTCCCGTCTTAATTGGAAAATAAAACTTAAGTTTCATCATTAATTAATTGACATTTAGAAGCCAGTGTGTGTAACAATAACGTTATGTATAGTTATTAGTTTGGAAGTCTTGGTTTCTGGACCAGTGTTTAATAACATGCACTGATCTGTTATCGCTATACCAATGCTACCCAATAAAACCGACCATTGCTTGGTGCGGCTTGTAGTGATAGAATACTTGACTAAACTTTGGTTTGTGACTTCAAATTCCCGATTATTTCTAATGCGAAATTGTATATTATTTTCCGCTGGTTAGTTGAGAAAAGAGTGTTATTTTCGATTGGATACCAGTCAGACTTCAAAAGGGCATATTAATTTTTCGTCAAAACTTCCCCATTGTTACGCCACAATCTGATTAAAACACAAATCCTATTTCGTTTCTTTTTTTATAGTTCAAAATTTCGTTTTACTTGTCTTTACTACACTAGAATCTGGAAGAGTTGTAAAAACCGCGTTCTGGTTGATGTGAGGGATTGGCCAATGAAACGGTATGTTGCTTCGAGTTGTTTGCGTGTGGTGTACAGAACTGTGGGTAGACATTCGCAGCGGAGACAAAGAAAAAAGTTGTGTTTCCAAATACCCACTAGGGTCAAAAGCCGCTAGTATGACCCCTGGCGCGAGCTCCCACTACAACTGGTCAGACATTATGCAGTGAAGGCCATCTAAAGTATAAAAACCCGAAACGAACTATAGATCTATATTTTTATGAGATTCATTACGCCACTGTGTAATAGAAATTTTGTATAGATTGCACATTTTTAATGACTAAATGTGTGTTTTACATCACTTCGTTATCAGTTCTGATCAATTTAATCATCTTGTGACTTGTGATCGGATGCCAGGTGGGTTTAATACCAAACACATTTCAAAATCTTTCATGCGAAATCAGTAATCATTTTCGACAATTTACCGTGTAATTTGTGTTTTTAATATGTTTATGCCAAATACTATTCACGTTCAGAAATTCCCATTGCATGTTCAACCGTTGAATACAAGGCTAAATTTAAAATCACGGTCACTTTTTATTCCAAATCAACGATATTAGTAGGTGTTTTATATAAGGTAACATTTTGTACGTTCTTCCGGTAACTATTATGTAAATAGTTTTTACGGACGAATTTAATGACGTTGATTTATATTTATCACATTTCGAATTTTTAAATGGTTATTTCTGGAAAAAGTTAAAATCTGATAATTATTTTAAAAGTATAGATGATATATTGTGTTTTAATCGTGGGGGGAGGGGTGGGGCGACCTGGAGAAAAAAGAACGTTACATCATCAAAGATGGCGGAATGTCCAAAGTCGTCGCAAACACAAGCCGTTAATTTGTTATTTTGTTGGAAAAAATGTAATGAAATTGTCTAGATTAAAGGAAATATCCTCTATTCACGTGACTGACGATTGGCAAGTTCTTAAGGTTGTAGACGATTTGGAACATAGATAGATCAATTTTAGAAGCCATTTTTAAAATTTAAAAGCTTTTAAATCAGATCCACATGATCAGTATTCTTCATGTTTGATTAAGAGTTTACTTTAAATCGATTAAACGCCATTTTCTCAGATTAATAACTGTAAAGTAGATATATTAAAAGTAAAAGCATCACCGAAATGGATAATTTATAAAAATTATATAATGAATCATGATGAATACTTTTCTGTATTCAAAACAGTTTTATGTGTCAAAGTGTCTGAAGTAATCTGTTTGAAGATAACAATCTATCCAACAAGTAATAACCTATTCAATCAGAGAGGCAGAGGTCAAAATAAAGAGCATGAGAGAGATGGGGTTTAACGTCCAATCGACACAAACAAGGTAATTTCTGGACTAACATAATATAAGTTAATTGTTTTTCAATAATTCACGCAGGGGTATTTTGAGCAGTGGAAGGAAACTGCAAGCTTAGGATCGAAACCACGCCACTTGAATCCATAACAGACTTCGTGAAAAATAGACCCCTCAACCCAAAACCAATGATCAAATCATCAAGGTAGAGACATACATCCATACTGTACACTATATAAATAGGATTATCAAATGATATAAAATACTTATTGCCAAGATGGTCATTGTTCTGACACTTACTGGATCAATGCCCTACAGGTAATGTCGATGGCCTTTTTCTTGATGTTCATATTAATTTCGACTTGAATATGTTTTGTGAGACTAGCATTAAATCACAATAACGGTACCGCAGAACAAGTGTGGTTCTAAGGAACACGTAAAAAAACAATCATTAAATACCAGAAAGGACTTCACACGTTTTCAAGATAAATATATTCAAAGAAGAAATAGTGGGAATTTTATCGTTTTTCAGAAATATCAATTCGTATAAGAAATGATATTATTTGAATTATTAATCAATTTTTAAAGATCATCTTGATTTCTTGCAGAAAAGGAAAGGTTCTGGCTGATTATTTATTTATATTATCGTCAAATGCATTAAGTATCCAAAAATAAATAAAGCACATGACATAATATATCTGATATGGAGTTTCAACGCCACAATTCCAATTACTGTATTGAACAAAGGGGTATCTAATAGACTAATGCTAGTTAAAATTAAAATCAAAGATACAATCGGTTTATCACGGCAAGCCCATAAACGCACGTATGAAAAATTCTCACCAATGCTTAGAAAATAGATACGGGATTGTTCTTCTATAAAAGCGTCGACTATATGTGCGATATGATAAGGGAGTTATATAGCCAATACAACAGTATTCTTAACATAAGATTTCCCAATAATTGGCCGGCATGAACGCCAAACCGTTTATGCGCGAGTATGGTAAATCAGATAGCAGCGCAGTGAGCGCAGACGTTACATCAGACTGAGGCAAGAGCACGAGTATTGGCCATCAGATAGAGGCTTGTAGTGTTTACAGTAGTGATGACCCTCGTGGATTTCCTGTGAAGGGTCAGATCTGCCCAATGGCCCATCTGTTCCTGACACAACACAAGTTTTGATAACTCCCCTAAAAGTCGACGATAAGATATAAACAGCGTTGGAATATTATTTAAAAGTATATATATATTGTTCATACATGACGAAGTGTATGTGTGAAAAGTCTGTGATACCAATGTTTGTTACGTGAACGACGGCTATCAAGGGTGTATGATTTTTTTTTTATATCTGGAAGAACTTCTGTATATAAATACCAGATGTGCTACCGGCTCCTGCTGCAAGACAAGAAACTTACGGTGCCGTAGAATTAACGTTCGTTAAGTTCCTTCCAGATGCGATGAACAGGTGTGATATAGTCTAATTGATAATAATTCTGATAATTATTGAATAAAATACAAAAATATATTATTTCATTCATCGTTCGCCTCATTCGTTTCTTTTGAAAGACACCGGCCGTTGATAAGAGAGTTGTTTATTTGGTATCATCGGTTTCTTAAGAAACAGATCTTGGACAATGGAAGAAATGACAACGCAAATCGCAAACAGTACAAACGTTACGAAGAACGATCATTATGACTTGTTCAACGATGTTTACGGCTACGAATATGATTACGAAGAATCGGTGAATAATATTCCTTTAGATGAGTTGATACCAGCAAGTATCACATATTCTTTAACTTTGTTAATTGGTGTAATTGGAAATACTTTGGTCATATTCTCCATTTCTTATTATAAACGTATGAGAAGTACAACTAATGTATTTTTGTTAAGTTTGGCGTGTGCGGATCTGCTTCTGGTGCTGGTTTGTGTTCCTATAAAGGTAAGACATTATTGTTTCTTTTATATTTTTGGTCATATAATTATTTTGGCAACAAATCTGTATTATTTAACAAGGGTGCAGTAAGTCATGGTTACTTTTTGTTCTTTTGTATAATTGAAATGTGTAACGGATATTTCATTTTTTTAAAACACATTTGACAGTAACCATTTATAAAACAACATCACCACTTTCGCCGATTGATGTATCACATATTTTCAAACGTGTTTTATATTAATTCACAAATGAATGAATAATGGTTGGTGATATATTAAAGATACATTATGTAAGATTTAGATAAAGGGCTGACCGTTCTTGTTACAGTAGTTCAAAAATAGATCACGAAAAATTAATTTTGCATTCAAATTACTTTATTCTGAGCGAAGTTATGAGTGTTTGAAATTTTGACAAGATGTAGCGTAGATTGTTTGTTTTACTGAGCCTCGGTTAATCATTTTATCGTTAATTTTAATATCTCATGGGTGTTTAAATCTCAACAATTAGAGAATTGACTATAGGCTTGTCATGTGAATAATTATCTATATCAGTGGTTCTCAACCTGTTTTTGGCAACGACACACCTTGGACCACATGAAAAAATAACGGTACACCTGGCTAAATATATATGAAAAATATTTGAATTTCACAAAATAAAAACATGACAAGTCATAGACTGCATACAACCGTAGACACAGACTAGTCATAGACAAATAGAATGACTCAAACTACATAAAGAAAAACAAAGGTATGACCTTAGCAGTAGACACCAGTGAATCCATGATCTAAATAATAATTTATAAAACATTTGAAACCAAAATAAAGCCCTGCGGTAGGCAGATTTAGCTCTTACATAATGTTCATGTATCTTAAAGAAATAACCCGAGATAGAGGAGACAAGAAGTTAAGTTTTGCTATGGGATGTGAAATATCGTATTTTACCCCAATAATATAGATCATCACTCTAACACGTTGGTACAAGATCATACATTTTTACAGTGTCAGTCCGAAATGTCTGACTTTTCCTGACTTGTCTGGGGGTTATATTGCCTGGAATCAATATCGCCGTTAAAAGTCAACAGCCAGATTAATTGAATGGGTGCGTATGCTGTCCTGTGATACATATGAATGTGAACCTCCATGGACAAAAGCAGATCGCAACCAAATTATATGTGTGTCCTATTATTAAACTAATCAAGCAAATTAGAAAATAACGATTTTTATTTTCATGGGAATATAATAATTCTTTGGTGTTAATTTCACACATTGTTAACCATTAACATATAGTTGATTACTTCATTTTTTCTAAAAGCCAAGATATAATTATCTTTAATTGATGTCACAATACAGTCACATCAACTACTTGTGGTTTGTTCCCGATATTGATAAGAACGGCTGTCATGCTATTCTAAGATAACCCAGGAAAAAACACTTACAGTTGATTAAATAATAAAAAAGAAAGTGCAAAAACGATAAAAAATACAATATAAATCAGCGTCAAAAGATATATTTATATGTGACCGAATCTCTCATATACTTCTATTATTAAAGAAGATGGCCATGGCGCGGAGCTATTACATTGTCAATTAAGAAAAACCGCAACTCTTTGATCACCATCCATCACCATAAAAATAATTTTGGATTCCAGCAAACTTCTTTATTTGGGTCCAACTCAATGTGTAACGTATTTTCGCCCATCCACTCGCAGTTTGAAAATATTTATATAAGGCAACGGCAACCATATAGTTGGTCGTGTAGCAAGTTGCTATGATTGGATTGGGGGTACTTGGACATTGAATAATTGACAAGAAAGTGATTATTTCCTAGATATTCATTTTGATTGTATGGTGTGAATATCAAGAGTCATCCAATGTGTATTCCAAACCATATACCGTTAAGAAAAAGTACGATATTTTCCATACATATATTTGCAATACAATACAGATTTAAATTTTTCAGTTAAAAGTTTCGCCGCTTTTTTCTTTTTACACAAGCACTTCCTAGAGCCTTCCTGCTATCACCACTGAAAGGCTGATTAAGATGGAATCGTACACTTAATCTCCAAAATTTCTTAGCCTTAAAAACGAAAACTGTCACGAAATGGTTGTTCAACTGGCAATGATAAACCTAGCCAATATCTCATACACGCTCCATTTAACCATTTAGTGAGAGTATTTATCTTCCGCCATAGTCCGAACTGCATATAGATGCAATCATCGTTAAACGGTTCAATCTTTTATTACATCATCAACAGTATTATTATGTCTTTAATTACACTTTCACCAGGACCAGTTTGTTATCATCTTGTGTGTTAATATAACCATTGTTTTAATTTATGACTTAAAGGGGAATTACGACCATTATTAAAAATACAAGTTGGTCAGAAGACAAATTAAAAGCTGATTCTTTCAGCTGTAAATGTCTTTAAATACATCGTGTTTTTCATCCGTATTCCGGTTGAAGCACATTAAAATTTGCACTAAGCAATTTGTTAAATCGACATTTTGTCAATAAATTCCGGAATTCATTCTCAGACATTAAAGGATTTCCGATTTTCTCGAAATATGTTCGACATCGAATGTCGTCTGTTAAAGGAAACGAAGTCTATATGCATTACCTGGGCAAATGGTTGTGTATAGACTAATTCAATTTTATGGAACTCGGTAATCATGTCTATCGAGATAATCTTTAAACTTTATTGTGGAGTGGCGATTTATAATGTGTTCCAGTCTATGTTTCTGGTTAATCGAGATAACTTTATTAAAGATACATTATGGGAGATTCGATAAAGAGCTCAATTCTCACTATAATAGTTAAAAAAAACTACATAATGGAAAGGGAATTTGCTGAAAATTTCAGTCAAATTTATCCACTGTGAACCGAGAATTTAGAGATTGAATTTTAGGCCTAACCTCGATCATCATTACTAAAGTCGGTACGATAAAATCAGTCTCGATTATCCATTTTTGAATTAATCATCAATAAGAGTTGAGCAGCAGATTTGATTCAAATCCAGTAAACATCGAAGGCTAGCGATGACATCGAGAGTTTATTGTGTTCTTGTTTTGTTAATTAATGTCTAATTAATAATTTAAATAACATTTCAGACCCAATAGGAAATTTAGCTCTTGCCTAATGTATGTTTAATTATATGATGCGTGTAAATATAGTTCCGATTATTCAGGCATTGGTTTTTGAAATGATCGCATTTTTACAACAAGAGCAAAATATTAATGAAATTAGAATTGTGCAGTATGCCGGGGGACAGGAACCACCAAGGGAGAGACATAAATATGCCCAAATCCAAAGCGAGTCCCAGGAATTAAAAAGAAGACACGAAGAAGAGGAATTAACTTTAGTCGAGTAGTTAGACAGGGTGCCTTATTTGGCGAAATTAAATTAATTTGTTTTTATTTCTTAAAGTCATATGCCAAACATGTTAAAATGTTAGTTAATTGGTCATATTATGAAAGTGTAAATTCTTATCACAACAATGTATAACTCCATTGTTACATTTTTAATCCATTTTAAGCTCTAAAAGCTGGATTCCCACGAAGGCGTCGAAAACGACCTCCTTTAATCCGTTACGGTCAATACCACGACGGCGCCGTTACAGAGCGTGACCAAAATTAATCCTTCCCACGAAGGCGCAGATATGGACTTGTCGGTTTTCGTTTGAAGAGAGACATGTTGTTATTAGGACCAAATTAACGGTGTTAAAGACTTTATGAATTTATGTTCACTCAGAATTATAATCACCAATTGGCAACTAATGATGAAAATCATCCAAGTATTCAATATGAATCTTAATCACCAATTGGCAACTAATGATGAATATCATCAAAGCATCCAAGTAATGTTCACATTTGTTCACTCTCAATCAGATCTAAAAATAACTGAATTGGCCCGCTACGTTACAAACCAATGGGCGAGGGTGAATATGCTACTCATCAGTGGAACCACTACCACACAGGGGAACACAGAACCATCAACACTCTGGAATGATGGCATTCAAGGATCAAGAAGCTAGTTGTTAAAGCTCATCCGATTTTTTTTAAATGGTCGCATTTTTACAACAAGAGCAAAATATTAATGAAATTAGAATCGTACAGTATGCCGGGGGACAGGAACCACCAAGGAAGAGACATAAATATGTTCAAATCCAAAGCCATCTCCAGGAATTAAAAAGAGGAATTAACTTTAGTCGAGTATTTAGAGTGTGTGTTATATTTGGGAAAATTAAATTAATTTGTTTTTATTCCTTAAAGTCATATTCCAAACATGTTAAAATGTTCGTTAATTAGTCACATTGGGGATTATGAAAGTCTAAATTCTTATCATAACAATCTGTAACTCCATTGTTACATTTTTAATCCATTTTAATCCATGAAAGCTGGATTCCCAAGAAAGCGTCGAAAACGACCTCCTTTAATCCGTTACGGTCAATAAAACGTGGGAATAAATCCCCAAGATATTAATCTAATATTTCCAATTAAAGATTTAGACAATTATACAATATTCGTTATCCGATGACTGTTGATTTTTGTGAAGTGACACTTAAAATTAAGAAAAATAAGAATAAAATAACCAGGTTGGTTTTAGAAAGGTCAAGCCGAGAGAGAGAGAGAGAGAGAGAGAGAGAGAGAGAAATGGGGTTTAACGTCCACTCGACACAAACTAGGGCATTTCGGGACTAACACACGGTTCATTTTTATTTCAATAATTCGCTTGTGCGTAGGGGTCTTTAGCAGTGGGAGGAAACCGGAGGACCCGGAGAAAACCCACGAGGTTGGACAGGCGACCCTACTCCTTGTCACGTACAACCGGAGAATCGAAACCCCGCCAGTTGACTCAATGACAGACCGTATGATACAGCGCGCGCGTGCTAACCATTCGGCCATCCAACCCCCCAGGTCAAGTCGAAGCTAAATAAACCTTTCTATTCATAAAGTCGACATTCTTGAATTGTAAGGCCGTCAATTTTAATGACCAAATCATATTTTGCTTGGTTTGTTATATTGTTTGAAATTTCTGTGTATATTCCGCGGGTTTGTCTTGTGTAATTATTTACGTGTGTTGCGGTCCTCCTGCACTTACTATTAGAATTAAAATAAAAGATAAGGAGTGGCATGAGTATACTAAATTTAATCTTTAAAGCAGCATGGACAGTAACTTGATATTACATAATTCATCATCTTATGTTTCGGACTTTTTTGTGCGGAACCTCAAACCATTTTATCTGTTCGCGCGAATTATTTTGCATGAAATTCTGCTCATTTCTTTTACATGACTCGAAGTCTTTATACGCAATTTACCCGTTTATCAGAACCGAAAATCTGTCTGAACGAGTTTTGAATTAGTTTTATGTGATATCTCGAGTAAGTATTCATCTCGAATATCACGGCTTTTAACTGATTAATCGTTAATTGGGCCGTTGATTTTTATCAAAGATACGTCAGAAGGCTTGGAGCTAGGAGCTACAAAAGGGTAATGGGGACGTATAAATGTTTGTAAATGTATTCTTATCAGAAATTACATCAAGAATACATAATTGACGAATTGAGGAGTAATCGTGTGCTGGTGTATGTTATCGTTGGAATATTCTATGTTTGACTTCAAAGCCAGGAACCATCAAAGAGTATAGAGTTACGGGGTATAAAGAGAGTAATAACCAACACTTCATATTAGAAAAGCAAATCTATTTCTCTACCTGTCGAACGGAATCAAGGGTCAATTAGAATTGGTAACACTTGAACCTCACACTACAAGAAATCACACACCTTTTTGTTTTCATTTTGATAAACATATGTTATAAGAAAAGACCATTTGGGTTTACTTATAGGTTATACCCAAAGCCTCTTTGTATATTGGAAGTATGTATATAGTTCGTTAACGCTTAATATTCTATGTAAGTTTTATACTGGACATATTAAATGATGATCATTTATCAACTACCATAGTGTAACAGTTCCCCTATTTTATTATCCCAGCAATATTTATCTGTCATCTGAAGCATTGACATTTGCGTAATTAATTAGTCATAATTAGATACTGATTAAATAGTCATTAGTTGGTTATTTGACTTTGAACGAAAGTAAAATGTGTTTATTCTCACTGCCTAAATGCCTGCTTTATAAATGCTTAGATATTTTAATTCAAAATGGGTGGGACCACCCACTGTAGTTGAAGTCTCCCACCAAACTTCGGAATACTACTTGAATCTGACAAAACGAGGAGTGACATCAATAATATAAAACCCCCTTGGATCTATTTAATCAGGCGTGTTATTATAGAAGACATTTAGGAGTTCTTAATTTTTAGCTTGTGATTCGACGTTTTGATAACATTAACAATTTAACGACTCTTGAAGATCCATTATGTAAGATTTAGATATAGATAATAAATAGCTGATTGTTAAGCACCATTTCACGATGTTTCGATTGCCAATCTTCTATTGCGTTTAGCGATTATATGGCGCTGGTAATTATTAAATCTTAGACATCCTATGGTCTAAAGAGTTGATAATAGGCTTGTCTTGCGAAGAAATCTCTAAATAATAATTTGAAGCCCAACTAAAGACCTGCAATAGGCAGTTTTGGTTTACATAATGCATCTTTAATAATGAGCTGAAATGTCTCCCACAGGTAATATTCTGGAGTGTGCTATACGTTACATTACGTATTTACTGACTTCAAAATTAAAAACATGTCGGAGATGATAAAACAAATGATACAGCTGTCTAGTCTAGAGTGTATTTATTATATATAAAGATTATATCTAGGTGTATTGTTTATCGTACCTATAATATACCAATCTACAACATCTCAAAATTACATGGAGTGAAATGTTCCATCTTCAAAGTTACATGTACGAAGAATTTATTATGGAGATACATATGTGACCGGGTAATACGTTTTTGCAATGCTTTTTTTTCTGACGCTCTCACGTTTTATCAAGCGTTAGTAAGATAAATAGGCATAGGGTAGGGAATAGGGGGCAGTTTAGATTTCGGTAAAAAAATAAAAATTATAGGTCCTTAGATAGAGATTTCATTTTTAAGAGTCAACAATGTAGGTAAAAAGAACAAATGGGAATAAGTAAGCAAATCTAATACCGCTAAATATTTTGAAACTAATATCAGATAGGTTAGGTTGTGCCAGCCTATTAATCGAAAGAACACATAAGAAGACCCTCCATAACCAGGGCTGCCGACAACCAGTATCGCAGCGCAATTTGCGATACATATTTTGTCCGTTGCTAATCAAAAATTAAAATCTAAAGTTTTTGATTCGCAGTAACTGCGAATCATTAATATGCCTGTCATTTTGGATATTGACACAAGGATAATCCACATTTGAAGACTAGAAAGCTTTCTCAACAATTTCAACGAGTATAAAATGTTGAATAAAATTTTATAAACAAAACTGAATTCTCCGTGTGACATTTTCTTCTCGAACTACCCAGACACAATTCATTATACGGTACTATATAATACAGGGACATAACTCTATGAATAGGGACTATTAAACCGGAAACAGGGAATCAAGTAGTACCACTCACGTTGCGAGACATCAAGTAATTATATGATATTTTGAAAGAAATAAATCCAGTGTATCCTCTACGTATTGTAAATAAAATATAAAAAAATAAATGTTAACGTATTGTAAAATGATAAATCAAAGTAAAAATTCCCGTAAAATATCACGTGTGTCTAGTCAATCGAGGTGCGCCCGATTGAACAAGAAAAGCAATACACGATAAAAAGCAGACGAAATTGTTTTCTAACGAAGATTTCTAACGTACAAAAAATAACAATTAAAATGATTGGGGCTTCGGAAGTCACTGTAAAGAATTGGCTTCAGACATAAGACCTAACTAAATGTCTACATCACATTCACAAACTGTCACAAGTACTTGTGGCAGTCCTAAAAAAATCTAAGATTAGTAAGAATGGAATCTAATCATATTTGTTATGAACTAAAGTAATATCTTGTTATTTAGGTGTTTTATGTTGAAACTGAAAAACTGCTAATCAATTTTTAAATTTGCTAATCAAATTTGGCAAAATTGGACTTTTTGATTAGCAGTGATTAGAAATTACCGACAGCCCTGTCCATAACCCAATTCACTTTATTTTGACCGAAATCAAAGAGGGAGATAAAAGCATAGACAGAACTGAAAATTGAAAATAAATTAAACTTTCTCTATCCATTATATCATAAAATGGGAATTACCCTATATACTTTATAATTGAATATTTATTAGCAATTCCTGGTTTTCCATGAAATCTTGTTTACCCCCTGTTTTTCCGCACCAATCAGACTTATGAAGACGACCATGTGCCACGCATGTATGCTACGAGGGAAAATTTCCCTGGACGACTAAAGGCTATTCCTTTCAAGACCCTCCGCCCCGCACCACTTACAAGTGTTTATCTCCTAAATAAATCGATGAATACCGAATCAGCTGTTGGGATAGCAAAGCATTGTCTTCACACAAAATGTCTACATTTCAAAACTTTGCTTGAGTGTGTGTGTGTGTGTGTGGGGGGGGGGGGGGGTCGCATTTACATTACTAGGCCGGTAACTTTATAAACAGCCTGTGGCCCCGACGTTACCTTAAACTAAAACGTCATCAGCTTCTGAAACTCAAAAAAGTGACCGGTGTCGTTAGTAGTATCTGTGGCCTTCTAGCCATATTTTTACCAAGGAGAGTTGACGCCTTTGATCTATTCACTAGATTGAATAGGGGTATTGTTATCCGAACAATGGGTATATGAATATAGATAAATAGGTATTGTTATAATGAACTCTTGTTTATCCTTTGACCTCATTTGACTTCTGTTACGAGGTTAGCTGGAGGTCACGCATTGATTATTGAGAGTGAGTGGGGTGGGGTTGTCTTTATAGGGGTTCGTGCTGAGGTCAGGTCGTGCGTGGTCTAGCGTTAAGGGTTAACGTTAAGATTGACCATTGATTGGGTTGCGATTGTTTATCCGGGGTTGCCCCCCCCCCCCTTCCACTCAGTTACCCCCCTTCTCCCACATACCCCTTCACCACAGAGCCCCCCCCCCCCTCCCTCCTCCCCCCCCCCCACCATTTCATTCCTCTATATTCTTCAATTAGTTACACCCCCCCTCCCCCTTCACCCCCAACGTGCCCCTCCCCCCCCCCCCCATTTCATTCCTCTATATTTTTCAATTAGTGACAAGCAAGAAGCTAACAATGTTTTGTTTTTTTTTTTTCAATATTTTTTTTTTATTTTTGATTTACATTTTAAAGTGCCGGTGAGTTCCAGTCGGCCAATTCCCTGTAAGTCTCTAAAATATCCATTGGCTTCTTGAACCCCGGATTTGTGTCGGCCACCAACCTCAAACGTGCCAATATGTAGTCAGTGTATGCTAACAATCTGCAGAAAAGAACAAAACAAATAGGTATCAGGTAAATAAAGCAATATTATTAATATTATAAGAATAGCGTTGATTACAGTCTTGGGTTCGCTAGCCTAGAGGTCGGGTGTTCGATCCCTAGCATTGGCTGAGAAAGGTCACCCCGATTTCTGGAGGGGTTTCCCCATTGCCTGTGATTCAGGTCGGTGGTCCAGCCAAGGACGGCCGTCTAGTCGTCCGGATGGGACGAAAAACTGAGGTGACGTGTGTACCCATTGTCGTGCATGTAAAAGATCCCTTGACCGTCGGAAAAGGATATAGGAGTAGGTCGTAGTCGGGGTACCCGGACAAAATTTCACTCATAGCACACGGTCTGTCTTATGCCAGGTCCTTCCTAAGCCCATGTTAGGAGTAGAACAGTAGGATTTTACACCCCCCCCCACCCCATATTACATTTCATTTAGGTATTGACGACAAGGTGTGTGGGTGTGGGGTCGGAGGGTATACACGCAAGCATCTTCAAATGGTGGGAGGTGAAATGGAGTGAGACGTTTAACTGCCTCACTGTTTGTTTCCTATACCTAAATTAATGCCATAGGCTATATTGGTGTCGTTCAAAACAAAACTACGTTCAAGAATCGATACTTAGAAACCACAAACAAACAAACACGTGTGACCTGTAAAGTACAGTCTGCTTGACTGAACATCCTTGAATGGGCAACCCGATACAGACAAGACTCTCATTGCAAAGGTGGCGGCGACCCCCCCCCCCACCCCACCCTCCTTTCTACCGAAACACCATACAAGTAGTTAAAAAACTTACGTTTCTTTTTCCTGGCTAGGCGTGGCTGGTCTAGTTGGGATGAACGGGTTGTGGGTCGACAACAAAGCGTCTGCGTCTGCCAAAATACCCCGTAATTGTATAACAACATCAGGCGTGCCTAAGGACGGTGCATATGGTGCCAATGTCGCCGTAATCAGGCTAATGGTTGATAATATAAAATTTCTTACATCAGCAATTGCATACCTTAAAAAAAAGACAAAAAAAAATATAATATTAAAGATATTTTCACCGTAAAATATTTAGGTCGCAGGGTGTGGGTTGAAGGGTTAATGCTTATATCGATCTTTTACGCGTACATGACTATGTACCCGTGGAGTTCTGCATTGTTTTCGGCCTATCCGGACGACTAAGCACCTGTCTTGCCAAGGGTTCGGCCCACATCACGGTCAAAAATCGTGTTTATGCAACGAATTCAACAACGGTATCCAACGACAGTTGCACGTATCGTTGTTAATCCATACAAGATGCATTATAGCCAAATTATGATAAATTAAATAGTTTGAAAATGTTTTTTTAGACCGAATATATCGTCAAATCATACCGTACTCATACAATGTTATGCCTCTTTAAAAGCTTCAAATTATGTAGGGTCTAAGGCCCCCCCCCCTCATCTCCCCCCCCCTCACCCGCACCCCCATGCTTTCAGTCTAACGATTACAGATTTTTTTTTTTTTTTGTAAAGTAGGTTTTGAATCATAATTTTGAAAGAAAAAGAAAAAAAAGTAACTTACATTTTAAATTATTTGTCTTTTCTTGTATAGTTTTTTTTCGTCAAGTCTTTCTGTTTTGGTGTTGTATTCTTTTCAGCCACAAGTCGAAGTGACAATTTTCATAAGTACGGCTGTTTTTAAAGGGTATAGCATAATTTTATGACCAACTGCAAATTGAGGGTTCGAGAACTGTTTTTAAAATTTTCTTTTTAAAAATGAAATACATTAAAACTGAACAAACGCTGTAAAGTGAGTTTTAAAAAAAAAATTGGTGGCGTGTCTCCGCTATTTTAAAAAGTTTTATAAAAACGATTGCTCGGACTGTCGCGGGCATTTCTAAAGAGTACTATGTTAAATCAGTCAACCAGCACTATTTGATGTGACTACCTTAAGGACAGCGTGACACCACTACGCGTCCCCATAATTATAACACCTTTCAGTCGTGGGGTTTACCGTCAGACATTGTAGTTACTCTGTCGACTGGAACTAAAGGATTAACGACCCTTTACGAGACAAAGACACTGGTCAGAAGTTGGCGCTAAACAACCACGTGACCCATACTAACCAATCATGGAAGGCTCTCATGGTTTGTTGACCAAAAATGCGACAGTCGTTTTAACGTCATTGAGCTCCGTGGACTTTGAAGTAGCAACAACACCCAACTCGTGAGACGTTGTCTTTGAGTATACACGTCGTCATTATAGGACACATTCGGAAAAAATTATGGTAAGCCTATTCTTTAAAGATACATTATGTAAGATTTTTTTTTTTTGTTTTCGATATCATGCCAAAAAATATTCCAAAAATATTAGTCTAGATGCTATGAAAACATTTGGGGACTAATAATCCGGTCATTGGATATATTATTCGTGCTCTTAACCGTATCGTAAACAAAACCAAGCTGCTAGGGTGGGAAAATTATTATAAATTTTATTAATCTCTTTTTGAGGTAATAGTATTTTTTCTGAAATATATTAATTTTTTTTTGTTAACCGCGTTGTCTCCATTAGATTATAATTTATTTCAAAATAGGTATGTGTTATAAATATGGGGCATGGCTATACCGTAATACATATATCTGTCCATTTAGAATTATTCCGGTCATAATAATTAAACGACTCTGTTACATATGGTTAGGCCCTGAAACTATATATTTTTTTTTTTTTAATTATTTATCCCCGGAAATAGACTCGCGCTTGAAATCTTTGAAAAAAGCGAGTTACCCCCCCCCCCCTTTTATACGTTTTCAATCTGGGGGGCGGTAGCTAACTTTATTTCCCCCGGAAATAGAAAAAAAGAGAGTTATCCCCCTTTTATACGTTTTCGATCCGAGACGTTTGCTAACTTTATTTACCCCGGAAATAGAAAAAAAAAGAGAGTTATCCCCCTTTTTTATACGTTTTCAATCGGGGCTTTTGCTAACATTATCTCACCTTTAATACATAAGCTCCATTTTTTTTTTTTTTTTTTTTGTGTTTTTTTTTTTTTTTTTTAAATTATTATGTTATTATTATTATTATTATTCTTTTTTAATCTTTTTTTTTTTATTAATTTTTTTTTTTTTAATTATTTATCCCCGGAAATAGACTCGCGCTTGAAATCTTTGAAAAAAGCGAGTTATCCCCCCCCCCCTTTTATACGTTTTCAATCTGGGGGCGGTAGCTAACTTTATTTCCCCCGGAAATAGAAAAAAAGAGAGTTATCCCCCTTTTATACGTTTTCGATCCGAGACGTTTGCTAACTTTATTTACCCCGGAAATAGAAAAAAAAAGAGAGTTATCCCCCTTTTTTATACGTTTTCAATCGGGGCTTTTGCTAACATTATCTCACCTTTAATACATAAGCTCCATTTTTTTTTTTTTTTTTTTTTTTTTTTTTTTTGTGTTTTTTTTTTTTTTTTTTAAATTATTATGTTATTATTATTATTATTATTCTTTTTTAATCTTTTTTTTTTTATTAATTTTTTTTTTTTTAATTATTTATCCCCGGAAATAGACTCGCGCTTGAAATCTTTGAAAAAAGCGAGTTATCCCCCCCCCCCTTTTATACGTTTTCAATCTGGGGGGCGGTAGCTAACTTTATTTCCCCCGGAAATAGAAAAAAAGAGAGTTATCCCCCTTTTATACGTTTTCGATCCGAGACGTTTGCTAACTTTATTTACCCCGGAAATAGAAAAAAAAAGAGAGTTATCCCCCTTTTTTATACGTTTTCAATCGGGGCTTTTGCTAACATTATCTCACCTTTAATACATAAGCTCCATTTTTTTTTTTTTTTTTTTTGTGTTTTTTTTTTTTTTTTTTAAATTATTATGTTATTATTATTATTATTATTCTTTTTTAATCTTTTTTTTTTTATTAATTTTTTTTTTTTTAATTATTTATCCCCGGAAATAGACTCGCGCTTGAAATCTTTGAAAAAAGCGAGTTATCCCCCCCCCCCTTTTATACGTTTTCAATCTGGGGGGCGGTAGCTAACTTTATTTCCCCCGGAAATAGAAAAAAAGAGAGTTATCCCCCTTTTATACGTTTTCGATCCGAGACGTTTGCTAACTTTATTTACCCCGGAAATAGAAAAAAAAAGAGAGTTATCCCCCTTTTTTATACGTTTTCAATCGGGGCTTTTGCTAACATTATCTCACCTTTAATACATAAGCTCCATTTTTTTTTTTTTTTTTTTTGTGTTTTTTTTTTTTTTTTTTAAATTATTATGTTATTATTATTATTATTATTCTTTTTTAATCTTTTTTTTTTTATTAATTTTTTTTTTTTTAATTATTTATCCCCGGAAATAGACTCGCGCTTGAAATCTTTGAAAAAAGCGAGTTATCCCCCCCCCCCCCCTTTTATACGTTTTCAATCTGGGGGCGGTAGCTAACTTTATTTCCCCCGGAAATAGAAAAAAAGAGAGTTATCCCCCTTTTATACGTTTTCGATCCGAGACGTTTGCTAACTTTATTTACCCCGGAAATAGAAAAAAAAAGAGAGTTATCCCCCTTTTTTATACGTTTTCAATCGGGGCTTTTGCTAACATTATCTCACCTTTAATACATAAGCTCCATTTTTTTTTTTTTTTTTTTTGTGTTTTTTTTTTTTTTTTTTAAATTATTATGTTATTATTATTATTATTATTCTTTTTTAATCTTTTTTTTTTTATTAATTTTTTTTTTTTTAATTATTTATCCCCGGAAATAGACTCGCGCTTGAAATCTTTGAAAAAAGCGAGTTATCCCCCCCCCCCCCTTTTATACGTTTTCAATCTGGGGGCGGTAGCTAACTTTATTTCCCCCGGAAATAGAAAAAAAGAGAGTTATCCCCCTTTTATACGTTTTCGATCCGAGACGTTTGCTAACTTTATTTACCCCGGAAATAGAAAAAAAAGAGAGTTATCCCCCTTTTTATACGTTTTCAATCGGGGCTTTTGCTAACATTATCTCTCCTTTAATACATAAGCTCCATTTTTTTTTTTTTTTTTGTTTGTGTTTTTTTTTAAATTATTATGTTATTATTATTATTGTTAATTTTAAATTGTTTTTAACATTAATATATACACTTCGGGGCCATTTTAACATAATGTTCTTGCATAATGTATGTTTAATAATAATACTTACCGGCTCCGACACGATTAGTAATTAAAAAAACAAAATTATCTATTTTCTTTTAAGATGGACCCGTTTGAAAACTACACAGACGCTGAATGGCATGAAATAATAGGGCTTACAGATGAATTTGAATTTTGGACACCGAGTCAAGTCCTGGCAATTAGCGAAACTTTAGACAGGGCCGAGATTGAAAATCAAACAAGTAATCATAATGAAAGAGCGGGGACTAAACACCAGCGGTCTGACGCCGACACAGATGACGACACGGAGGACGAAAGGTGCGAAAGGGGTCATCGCCAACTGGATAGTCCTGTATTATTTTCGGATGACGATAGTGACATTGACATGGCACAGGTGAGCAAAAAAACTTTACACGATACTCAAAATAATGGGGAACCTAATTCGTCTACAGAAAGCGAACATCACGATCCCTTAATTGCTCTATTAACGAGTGACATAGCAACCCCTTCTAAGTTCAAATCTTTAGTTGCTAAGGCGTGTGAAGAAAAAGATGGGGAGGTAGTCGATATTCTCGATTTGTTAACCCCACCGGTTTTTTTTTTTTAAAATAACCAACTCCCGTTTTTTTTTGTTTTTTTTTTTTTTAAAGATTTGTCAAGAGGGCCGTGGCGGCGAAGATTTAGTAAGGCTGATTTCGGTGGAACAACGGTTTTCAAGGAAATTTAACATACATTCCGAATTGCTACGTCTGGAAATTATAAACACGGATGACCCTACTACTCCCGATTGGCTAGAGAGACTATTCACTCAGATATTAGCGACCGTTAGAGAAAATTTCAATGTACAACCAAACGAGAGGGTAAGAATACAATTAAATCACCCTGATTTGGACAATCCAATATATATTGCGTTTAGGCCTTACAGTGAACTAACTTTGGAATTAATTTTGGATGAAATTGCGAAAGTTATGCAGTCAAAAAAAACCCTCGTTATAGACGATCAAACCTCTATAACCGTTACCTACGTTGCATCTAAAGAAGGGGGTTTTTCAGCAAATAAGGCGATTTTGAACGAGGCCTTTATGAGTGGAAAAAAACGGACATTTATATCCCCCGTAGCCAACGCTGGTTATCAAACTTGTTTTGGGCAATCTATAGTCCTGGGTATGAACGAAATTTCTTATCATAAGAAAATTTCCCCAACAGCCGAAGAAACTAAACATTACAAACGTGTAGCTGCCACCTATGCGAAAAGGCCGCTGCAGATTGACATGGCTATGGAAATGTATCAAGAATTCAATGTTAACCCGCTAGTAGCCGCAGGTCGACCTGAATGGTGTATATTTCAAGAACACTTAAAAGCTGAATATCAAATTCTCATCTATGATGGACAGGCGGCCAACTGTATCATATTCAGGGGTGACGCGGACCCCAATGTGCCCGTTTTAAGGCTGTATTTAATGGAAAAACATTTCTACTATATAAAGAAAATCAACAGCTTATTTAATCGTTCATACTATTGTTCAGGGTGTGAAAAACCATATTCTAATAAGAATAACCATGTGTGTAAAGCGCTATGTCGAAGCTGCAGGCAATTAGTGGCCTGCCCTCTGGATAGGCCGCGAATACAGTGTGAACTTTGTCACCGTTATTTTAGAGGCAAAAAGTGTTTGGAGAGACATAACCAAAATGTTCCGTTATACACAGTGTCGACGTGTATGAAATATAGGGCGTGCTTAAAGTGTTATACAACAATAGACACCCACGAAGAGGATGCGATTAATAAGCACACCTGTGACGTGCACAAATGTCGTAATTGTATGCAACTGTGCAAGCCTAATCATAGATGCTATATGAAACGGTTATCAGAGGAGGTTGAAGGTGAGACTATCAAATATTTTGTTTTTTATGACTTTGAGACTATTTTGGATGAAAATAATATACACGTTCCTATATTATGCATTGCTCATCGCGTGTGTCCTTTATGTTTGGAGATAGATATTAACGCGCCGTGTGTCGGCTGTAACTTAAAAAACTCCCAGAGAGAGTGGATTTTTTATGGTAAATATTGCGTTGCAGAGTTTTGCCGTTGGATAATTCAGACCGAAATAAATGTCGACCTCGAAGGTAAAAAAACGACCGTTCTAACCCACAGGCATTCCAGATTCATAGCCCATAACAGTCAAGCTTTCGATGCCCTATTTGTATTGAGATATTTCGTCACACATACTAGAATTCTACCGGAAATCATTGCAAACGGGTCTAAAATCATTTGTATGACTATACCCGGTAATATACGTTTTTTAGATAGCCTAGCGTTTATGCATATGAAACTTGCAGATTTTAGCAAAACATTTGATTTACCTGTTGCGAAGGGTATATTTCCGTATGCATTCCTTAAACCCGAAAATCTGGAATATAAAGGCGTAATGCCCTCGATAAGTTTTTACGAAACGTCATCTATGTCCCCTAGTGATCGCGATAAGGTCATGAAATGGTATAATGAGCGGGTGCTTCTAAACAATCATTTTGACGCTAAGTTTGAATTGGTGCGATACTGTAAAGCGGATGTTGATCTTCTACGGTTAGGCGCGGCTAGCTATAGAAAGCTTTTCATGGAATTAACCAAAATATCGCCATTTCAAAAGGCTATTACGATTGCATCCTTGTGTAACCTCGTCTATCGGCGAAAATTCTTACCCCCCTTCACGATAGCTATAGAGCCCCAGGGTCAGTATGTATCCGCACGCAAATATTCAAATTCATGTATACGGTACATGCAATATCTTGAATATGTTGAAAATCGTCATATACAACACGCCCGTAACGGTGGTGAAAAGGTCATTTTCAATATGTCTGTAGATGGTTGGTATATGGAAAATAACATCGAGGTGTGTATCGAATATTTAGGCTGCGTTTTCCACGGGTGTCTCTGTATCAAAAACAGAGATCAACCCTCCCCATACAATAACAAAACCATGGCCGCATTGTACGAGGAGCACCTGGCCCGTTTGGAGAGGTTGAAGACTCCGACCAGACGTATTCGATGTATATGGGAATGCGAATACAAGCGTCTCACAAATACCCCTATGTTTTTAGCCTTTGAAGCGTGCACCCCCACCTTGACAGAACCCTTGCAAGTACGTGACGCCTTCTATGGAGGGAGGACGAACTTATTGAAATTTTATCACAAGGCCCGTGAAAACGAAAGAATTCGTTACCTGGATTTCACGTCGCTTTACCCTTTTGTGAATAAGAGAATGCTATACCCGGTCGGACATCCAATGCTTATTCTGCGTGACTTCGATATTTTGGAGAATTATGTAGGTTTCGTTAAATGTCAAATTCTACCACCCCGCTCCTTATATATTCCAGTCCTACCGTTTAGGGCTAACGGTAAGCTACTGTTTCCACTGTGTTCTAAATGCGCTTTGAACCGAAACAAAGAGCCGTGTACTCACAATGACGACGATAGGGCGCTGACGGGGACTTGGGTTATATTTGAAGTTATCGCCGCAATTAAAAAAGGTTACAGCCTGGTTAAAATTTTCGAGGTGTGGAATTTCCCACACACGCGCCGATATTGCAGCAACGATGCTCAGCTTGATCAGAAAGACTACGATATCCATATCCCCACAATTAAAGACAATTACGAGGATATACCTGAAAAGGATATATTTGACCAACTACCCGAAAAAGACCTGTTCAGCGAATATATCAATATGTTTCTCAAAATTAAACAAGAGAGTTCAGGGTATCCAAACACGCTTAATCCTGCGTGTACCTCGTGTGATAATCTAGATACGTGTTGTCATATCGATTGGGGGGATCTCGAACGAAAACGGGCGGCGTATATTAAAGCTTACGAACAACACGAAAACATTACTCTCGAAGCAAATAAAATATCTAAAAACCCCGGGCTACGATATGTATCAAAGATCTGCTTAAATAGTTTATGGGGAAAATTCGCTGAACGAACAGATACAAGGGTACACGCTGCCCTCGTGCACGACCCAACCGTCTTCTATGATTATCTTTATGACGGCACAAAGATTGTCAAAAATATCGAAATTCTCAATGAAGAAATGGTCTTGGTCCAATATACAGACCGCCAAGATCTTGTCCCTGTCGCCCCTCACGTAAATGTACCTATAGGGGCTTTCACCGCCGCTTACGGACGTATGAAACTGTACGAATATTTAGATAAATTGAACCATCGGGTTCTGTATTTTGATACCGATTCCATCATTTTCACAGAGACCGCCAATGATACCCCTGTAAAAACCGGGGTTTATTTAGGTGAACTTACGGACGAAATAGACCCTGACTGCCATATACTTGAATACGTCGCTACCGCCCCCAAATCCTACGCTTTGAAAATAGAAAATAAAAAAACACGTGAAATCTCTTACACCATAAAATCTAAAGGTATTACGTTTAACCATGATGTCAGTCAACGTATCGAGTTTCGAACGTTTGTTGAATTAGTACATGACCACTGCCGTAAGGTCAAAGTCACATACCCGAAAGCTTTCCACCGCAGTAAAGTGTTTGTGGTTTCTATGAAAGAGAAGTCAAAAACCTTATCATTCAATTACGATAAACGCGTAGAAATTAAGGATTCTTACGATACAATGCCTTATGGATTTCGTCAAACAAAATGAATAATGTTTTTTTTTTTGTAACTGTAATCTCGTATATTGTAACACCATTTGTTGATAACCCTGTGTATATACGATATATAAAAGATATAAAAAAAGAAAAACCATTTGTTTTGTTTTTTCTAAAAAAATCATTTTATTCATCTATTCAGCATCTAGAGTTACATTTTAGCTTGAAGGGGTGGTTATATAGGTATGGACATTTACATTTTAAATCTAAGAGCAACAAAACGATGGACATATCTGTCATTCTCACGGTGGTTTCGAGAAAATGTATTTACAATTCTTTTCATACTCTTACCCCTGCAGCGGTGATAGGCGTAAAAGACACAATATTGCCCACAAACATCACTGAACAATCCTTGCAGGCGACGTTTGTTATATAACAGAGGCAACCCCGTTTTTTTAACCCTGTGCATGACATTGCCGTGATAAGGCTTGAACCCGAAAGAGTCGAAATATTCCACCCCTTGACTGCCCACATAAAGAAGTAACCAATGTTCCCCTATTTTGTTGGCGGTATGAGAATTGTAAATGTACACGCCTGGTTGTAGGGTCCTGGGTAGCTTATCCCGAGCAAATACCCCTCGAAAATAAGCGGCTGTATGGGGGTCACTTTTCAAAATAGTCGTCAGCTGGTCTGTATTCATCTCAAAAGTCTGTTATAACATTTCGAGCACTGTCTATCTCGATCTTATTTTCAAACTCGCTGTATAGAATTACGTTCACAGTGGACGGCAAGGGGGTCCCGAATCGAACTTCGAGTTTAGCATTACCCGTTTTGGTTAGATGTACTGTGTTGTCGTCAGAGAGTTCTGGGGTATAATCGAAACAGAATATGCAGAAACCTTTTCGGTAAGCATTCAGGGTAATTACAGGACCCTTGTCTTGAAAAAGGCTAGACGTCCCCGAAAATAATGTATTGAATGATCTTGTATATCCAAACCCCAAAGCTTCGCTGAAATTGGGGGTCAAAGGCTTAGCGAAAACATCTTCACCGTTAACCTGGAGTGATATATGGTTAATGTCAAAATTTTGCAACCTGAAGGGATTATGTTCCACACTACCTGAAAATGCCTGGTTACTCGCAAATGCCACAAGAACTCGACGAGGCGTTTGCCCCAAGAACAGATTGTCTTTATCCAAACTACGATTCCCTGCAGGTATGGTAAAACTTTTTACATCTACACGTCGAATAGGGTAAACGGCATTTCGTTTCATCAGAGCTGCGCCATGTGCCACGATAACCGAGGGGTTCAGTTTTAATCTCCGGATAAAAAGTGACGCCTTTTCTATGACTACTTTGAAGGCATCGGCGTCTGCCATGAGACAAAAAGCATCTTTAGACCTCACCATTCTAACTCTAAGATCAATGCCATTAAGTAAGTATTTATTCTGACTGAACAAGTCCAAGTGTAACTTTCCAACCATGTCCACCGTCTTGCTCGATGAAAAATATCTGGATCTACCCTTAAACCCGGTATTACCCCCCGCGTCTGATACATCATGACTGTCGAATTGTCCAGGGGTGTCTAAACGCCACATGCACGATAATAGGTGAGATTTTTGGGCGTCACTGCCGTAACTGAGGAGGTTCTCCAGATAACAACGGTAGGGATTGACGGAGGCAGGCTGAGAGATTCTCTTTCCATTTAGGGTTACGTCGACTTGACTAAACAGACTGTGTAAGAAATTATTCACAGGACCTACATTAGCGTCGTCTGCTATATTTGTACCGTTGGCATTGGTTATTTTGGCCCGGACGGTAAAAAAACTTTGTGCCAAATCAAGATATTCATCCCCGGACCCCGACATGTAAAATTCAAGAGGGGCTCCACTGTCTAGATTAGATATAGGGTGATATTCGTGCCATTTTCCACTTTCGATATCTATTTTGGTATTTGGGTGTGAAAATAATTCTAACCCTGTGGATACACATTCACATGATCTAGGATCGATCATTTTTTGAACGCCTAAAGGGATCTGGATATCAGCTAAATATGTCTAGGGCTGCTTTTTTTCGTCTCTTCTTGTTCTTTCCTCTGTTATTTTTTACACGTTTGACCGAACCACGTGGTGTAGAGTGTCTTATAGAACTAAGTGCCCTTGTGCCTAGATCCCGACCCGCCTGCAGTAAGTGGTGTTTAGCGGAGGTCCTTAAATTTTTACCCTGAAGAACATCGCCAATAATATTCGACCCCGTAGTTAACGCTTTTTTTCCAACAGTTCGGGCGGCAGACTTTAAGAGAGGGGTTGCAGCTCTAAATAAGCTTGATAGAACTGAACCGACACCGTATCCTTTCTGATAAGGGGTACCGCTGTATACAGGAAAGCCTTCACCCGTTTGACTTAGATAATAACGACGTACTTTGGTTTCATCACACCTATAAGGGTGAAGACATGTCATTATTCTTCGCGTCTAAAGTGTAATTTAACTAAAACTACACCAAATTCAAATGGCACTAATTTCCCCAATTCTGTGTAAAGACCGAGTTCAATGGTGTCTATGTAGGTCTGACTAACTGGTATATAATATGGGGTGTCAAAGGTTTTATAGACTGCCGAACCGAAGGGTTTAGTCAGGTCAACTTGTATTGCTCGTAATAATGGGGCGCTTTTATCCCCGACCAACTGATTTTCAATAATATCCGTGTAAATGAAAATATTGTGAAAATTGGAATCTAAATCGACCTTTGCATCACTTTTCACACTGCTTGTAAATTCATTCTCTTTCATGAAACCAAATATTCTGGCCAAATTGGTAGATAAATGTACTTTTCGGCCGTCTTTTCCCAAAAGTAATAATATATGCCCATCGGTATCTTTCATAATAGATAGCGACGCTCCAACTTCCAAAGCAGCTTTATTAAGGTGGTTGATTATGTCATTACCTGTGTCGTAGTACCCGTCGGGTACCGCAAAACGTAAACGGTGCGGCCCCTCATTTCCAGTCTTACTCCTGTATGAAAGCCAACAATCTTGGATAAAGATTTTATTCCAGCTGCAAGGGTAGTGAATCTCCACGAGGGAACATGTCCATGCGCCTTCTAATTGAATTGGTTTTGCTAATTTGGTAGTATAATGACTAATCTTATTATTAGAAAAATATCTTTCACTACTATTTGAAGGTAATATTAAATAGAAACTTTCTCTTTCGGACATGATTGTCTAATTCTGACTTGTCTGATACGATTGTCGTTTGGGAGTTGTGGGGTTGGTCTGGACGGTATACACCCCCTTTTAAGTAAAAATATTACAACCTCGATGAATTGTTAATCGTTAACTCTTTGTTTAGCATCACGGTATTCGAAATTTCAACAATTATTATAGCCAGTATGAGGAGCCCCGTGAATATATAAAGAAACAACTCACACAATGCGTCATCGCAGTTGGGTCTCTTTACCTCTTGTAAAAACGTACGGGCACGGTTGTGAACTCGAGGGTTTAACGTTGTCATTTTCGACGGATATCCGACGCTTTTACCCAACTATCAAAGGCTTTACCATAACCTTTCCACCGAACTAATATATATTTTGAACCGCGTACCGTCTTTCTAGAAATGACTTGTTCGATATCGTAATGTTTAGGGGGTATAACGTTGATCAGTTCTTCACGATAAAATGTACCTTTTACCGCAACACCTTGTAGGTCATTTATTTTATACAAGCCTCGATCCCGGCGCAATCTCTGAACCACTTGAAATATTTCTTCGCTGTAAGACCCCAAATAATCTTTTTTAAACGGATGTTTAGACCCGGATATTCGCACATAGTCACCAACATTTAATGTGTATTTCTCTCTTTTGTTTTCGTGTGGTTTCTTTTTGTAAAGAACGTCGAGCACTCTATCTTGGTTGGCCGGTGTCACATTAGCCGGGGCCATTTGTATGCTACGGTGTTTCGCATTGTTGTAGCCCTTGACTAGCTTTTGTAAAACGTCCCTGTAACGGTACGTGTTATTTTTCGTAAAGTAGCGGAACAATCGATTTTTCAATGTTCTCAGAAAGCGTTCAATTATAGCCGCCTTGATATCGTCATTTTGACTAACATAAAACCCTATACCCCGTTTCTTGAGCATAGCTTGAAAGGATTTGTTCAAAAACTCCGTACCTTTGTCCGTTTGTATAGTAATAGGCTTTCGTTGCGAGCTTTTCAAAATGTGGGTGAAGGCGTAGACAACGCTTTTACTGCTCTTATTTCTCATCGGGTACACCCATGCATATTTACTTAAAACATCTATGACGCATAATAGGAACGTATGTCCACTATTATGTTCTTTCAATGACGTAAGATCGCAAAGATCGATTTGCCACAAATGGTCAATCCCGTGTACATAGACTCTATCACGTCTGTAATGTCTCCGTGGCATTACGTGTTTAGTGTAAGCTTCTTGGGACATTAACCACTCCCTGATATCTTTAAGAGGGATTGGTTGTTTGGTCTGTCTAAGATATCTATGAAGCTTGTGCATACCCCCATATCCAGCGGGGTGTTCGGGGTTATAATAAATCTTTGTCAAAATTTCATTTACCTGGGGTCTCATTTGGCCCGGTAAGGTAACCAGTCAGGGGTGCCCTGCCTTCGGCGTGTTTTAGGTCGTGTAGGGGTGGATTCAAGGCCGCGACCGGCTTTCGGTGTGTCATTTATATACCCCCTCATCCATCTACTTTCAGGTGTGTGATCAACCGAGCGCGAACGTGGACGTTGTTTACGGCCGGGGGTCCCCATAAGGCTCGGGTTGTTCATGTAGTGATATCTGTCGGCGTTACCTACCAAATCTTGAGGTAAATTATAGGTAGACAAGGCTTTGCTTAGTGCTTGCCATCCTATGGGGTTAAAGTATTTTCTCTTTCGTAGCAAATCATTGACGAGATCGGTTATATTTGAACCCTGTACAACACCTCCTTGTATAGTAACAGTACCGTTATCATCCCACGTGATGTTTGGTGTTTGATATAATTTTTCTATTAAGAGTGCGGCCTTATTTTTCAAAGATTTCGGAACTGTAGTCATGATGTCTGATTTTAAGGGAGGCTCAGGGGGGATAACCCGCAC